GCATGTGTTTTTGTGCAGCCTGGGCTGCTGGGAGGGGTCCCTGCTCATGGCAGGGGGGCTGGAACTGGATGATCTTGGAGGTCCCTTCCAACCTTCATGATTCTGTGACTCCAACCCCCCTCCCCAGCTCCTCACCCAGGGGGGTCCCACCCCACCCCCCTGCCCAGGTGTCCCCACCTTGGGCTCCCTGTGCTGCAGCCAGCTGCTGAAGAGCACCTCATAGGCACTGAAGATGTCATTGGAGAAGGTGTCCTTCCTGACCGTGGGGTCGGGGGCCTTGTCCAGGTTGGCCAGGTACTCCTGGATGCTCTCACTGAAGTGCTGCAGGGCTGGGAGACACAGCAGGGGGGTGAGATGCTCAGCACAACAGGCTCTCTTGAAACCCCTCCAGAAAGCAGGTGGTTGCCCTGCTGTCCCACTGGGCACAGTCCCAAGGGAGAGCAGATGCACCAGGACTTCCCTGCCAGGCTGAGACACTTCCCAGGAGGTGCCCTGGGCTGCCAGGGGTCCTGGGCAGGAGCCCCTGCAGGGACACAGGCTGCTTTGTGCTGGGAGCAGCTCCACCAGCCAGCAGCCTGGAACTGCCTGTGGAGCCCTTAGCAGCCAAGAACTCCAGTCCCAGGGCACTGGGCAAGCTGGAGCAGAGCAGCTCAACCAGTTTGTCCAGTCCCTGAACCAGCAAGTGCTGCAAGTGTGGGCAGGGGTGGTTGTTCCTGCTGGGATTGGGGTGTTCAGCCTGGAGAGGAGGCTCCAGGGAGACCTGAGAGCAGCTCTCCCTGCCTGAAGGGGCTCCAGGAAAGCTGGGCAGGGTCTCTAAGGCCCCTCCAACCCAACCCACCTGGAATTCCATGATTCCAGGCTGCCTGGTGCCCAGACCCCAGAGCCCCATCCCTCCCACCACAGGACTCACACCCCAAGGGGCTGGGGTGACTCCAGGGCCCCACGCTCAGCACAAGCTCCAAACTCCCACGTTTCTCCCAGCCAGAGGGGGAAGCAGGAGGGGGAGGAAGAGGAGGAGACCCCGAGCAAGGAGCTGGCAGGGCTGGGCTGCTCCAGCCTCTGCTGCCTCCTCCTCCAGCCTGGCAGGACCTGAGAGCTGAGTCACTCCCTGACCTCTTCCCAGGGAGATCATTCCAGTCACATGCCTGTCACCCTCGTGTCACCCTCCTGTCACCCTCGTGTCACCCAGCAGCAGGCCAGGAGCTGGGAGAGCCCCTTGCCCTTGGGCTGGGACCTGCTCTGCTCCCAGAAGCCCCCAAACCAATCCCAGAACCCCCCAACCTGCCCCAGAACCCCCCAACCTGCTCCCAGTACCCCCAGTGTCCCCAGTCCAGCCAGCACCAGTGTCCCCAGTACAGCTAAACCCAGTGTCCCCAGCATTCCCAGTGGCCCCAACACCAGTGTCCCAGTACCCCCAGTGTCCCCAGTCCAGCCAGCACCAGTGTCCCCAGTACAGCTAAACCCAGTGTCGCCAGCATTCCCAGTCG